TCAATACTATGGACTATGGCTTGTCTCGGGCTTCTTATGGTAAGCTATGGAGGACGTCTGAAATAAGACATGGATTGGGGCCTTCTTCTGGATTCTCCAAGCATGACCTACCACTAGAATTTAATCACATTAGTTCCACAACACATGAGAAGTTCTCCTATCTTGCTAAATCGGTGTCTAAAAGTCTGAGTCCATTAGTCTCCTGATGTCTGGAGAGTAGAAGAAATGGATCATGTTTACGAGGTAAAGTGTTGTCTTTGAGAAAGAAGTGTTGTCTCCAGACCTTAATGCCACATGCTTTATGAAGTAATAACCTGTCAGAGCATGGACAATTGATTGGACCATCAATGCTATGGACTATGGCTTGTCTCGGGCTTCTTATGGTAAGCTATGGAGGATGTATGAAATAAGACATGGATTGGGGCCTTCTTCTGGATTCTCCAAGCATGACCTACCACTAGAATTTAATCCCATTAGTTCCACAACACATGAGAAGTTCTCCCATCTTGCGAAATCTGCGTCTATAAGTCTATTAGTCTCCTGATGTCTGGAGAGTAGGACTTGGATAAATGGATCATGTTAAGAAGGTAAAGGGTTGTCTTTGAGGAATAAATAGTACAGCATGGACAACCCCGACTTTGGTATCCATTCTCTACACTTTTCCAGATCGCTTCTCCATGGTCCATGTTTCCCAATAATACTGGATATAGGATCTGGGGAAATGGATTCCAAAAAATTCCAGTAGGAGTTAGACTGCGGCATTAACGTTTAACATAATCGATTCATTCATACCTACCAATTATTTATATTGTTGGCTTGGCGAGCCATTGTTCTCCAAGTAGTGATTTCCCATCGATTATTTAGCTGCCAAAACAATTTGGATTAATGAGTGGATTGGATGATGAATGGGATAAATCCATAATGAACCATTTGCATTGTCTATTGTGTGGGATGCTGTGGGTGGAGACTTGCTATTTGGCACAGATGCCATAGCAGAGATTTCAGGTCTTTGTATACCAGTTGTATCAAAATTACCTTCAAGTGACTAGACTGTCTGGGGCAAACAGATTGTAGCGAAGTGTACTGAAATGAAAGCATACCTCCAATTATATAGAATCCTAGAGGACTGGGAAAGTGGCCTTGCAAGGAATTGTCTAGGTCCTCAAATGCAAATCTATGGAAGTATATCATAGATTTGCAAGGAGAACCTAGATAATTCCTAGAAGGTAGGATTCTTGGATGGAATTGCGTCCTGTTCCCCAAATCCAGTTGCCACCAGTGGTTCCCAATCTGTGGTCCGTGGACCACCAGTGGTCCCCAATAATGAAAATATGGTCAACAGACTTACCATTACTACATCAGTCATTCAAAGCCACACGACAACGGGAGCGACTGGTCTCACAAAACACTCTTATAGTGCTGAGACAACAGGGATGTTGGGAGGCGAGAGGTTGACTATGCATGAAAGATTACTACTACCAGATCAGCTCTAGATTATTAAATATGGTTTTCTAAAGTTGACCAAAAACTGATCCGTAACCCCTTTGGTACTAATGTTGGAGAGCGGTCCCTGGTCAAAGTGGTCCCTGTTCTAGTGGTCCCTATTCAAGTGGCCCCTGGTCAAGTGGTCTCTGGTCAAAGTGGTCCTTGTTCAAGTGGTCCCTGTTCAATTGGTACCTGGTCAGGTGGTCTCTGGTCAAAGTAGTCTCTGTTCAAGTGGTCCCTGGTGAATAGGTCCTGGTCAAGTGGTCCCTGGTCTAAGTGGTCCCTGGTCAAAGTAGTCTCTGTTTAAGTGGTCCCTGGTGAATTGGTCCATGGTCAAGTGGTCCCTGGTCAAAGTAGTCTGTTCAAGTGATCCCTGGTGAATTGGTCCCTGGTCAAGTGGTCCCTGGTCAAAGTGATCCCTGGTCAAAGTGGTCCCTTGTCAAAGTGGTCCCTGGTCTAAGTGGTCCTTGGTCAAGTGCCCCTGGTCCAGTGGTCCCTGGTCAAAGTGGTCCCTGGTCTAAGTGGTCCCTGGTCAAAGTATTCCCTGGTCTAAGTGTTCCCTGGTCAAAGTAGTCCCTGATCAAAGTGATCCCTAGTCAAAGTGGTCCCTGGTCAAAGTGGTTCCTGGTCAATGGTCCCCGGTCAAAGTGGTCCCTGTTCAACTGTTGCCTGGTCAAGTGGTTCCTGGCCAAAGTGGTCCCTGGTCAAAGTGTTCCCTGGTCAAAGTGGTTCCTGGTCAAGTGGTTCCTGGTCAAAGTGATCCCTGGCTAAAGTGGTCCCTGGTCAAAGTGGTTCCTGGCCAAAATGGCCCCTGGTCAAAACGTTCCCTGTTCAAGTGTTCCCTGTTCAAGTGGTTCCTGGTCAAAGTGGTCTCTGGTCAAGTGATCCTCGTTCAAGTGGTCTCTGGTCCAGTGGGCCCTGATCAAACAAAGGTTGGGAACCACTGGTCTCGACCAAGTATGGTTTTATCCACCTCCATAACATCTTGGAAATTGAGAGAATATATCAAAATGTTCAAACGAATCGTGGAAAATGTGTTTCTCAAATCTTCATGAGGAGGATTTTGTTCTAAGAGTCTTAACAATTGACTCAACAGTCTAGAACCTTGGGCTTTGTATTTTGGTGAGGCACCAGCCCTACCAGGCAGAGAAGACTGGTAAAACTACAGAGGCCATGTTTTGATAGCATTGAGACACAACAGGTAAAGTGTTTTCAGTCTGTATTAATTCTATAGTGTAGATACACCCTGAGTCATCTAAGCAGGGAGTTGACTTCAAAGCGACTTCCAATAGAAAAAAAAAGTCTCTCTTGGTTCTAAAATAACCCCAAAAGGTCAAAAAAGAGTAAACCAATATGACCTCCTCCTTCCATAAAATTGCTTACCTTTACATCCCAAGAATAAGAGAGTCACACAACACCATAAATAAAGATTTATCAAATTTATTGTAGTGTAAGTTTGGGCAAAGCTGGGTTGTACGCACAAAATGTAACTACAAGCTATAGATATTATCAGAAGGCATTCCTATAGCTATAAATGTATGGTCTCTATGTAGATATAAATCTATGGAATGGTGATGTTTCTCCTGGGTTGTTGTAGGTTGTAGATGTTCCTCCTCTTTGTTCTCAATGGGTTAACCCTTGTTTCTTACCAAGTTTCCCCATCTGAGATGGAAAGATCTCAAGATTGAGAAAAATCCTCCTATTGTCACCCCCCCCCCCCAGTCACCAGGATACAGAAGTATGCTCATTCTCCTTGAATCCTCCAGTTTGTCCCAATGAGAGCAACCTCATAGATTCAATAGGATTCATCAATTTCTTGGATCACTAAAATCAATTGGAACGACATTGCATTAAGGAGGCCGACATGCATTGATTCTCTCTTTTAATAGGATTGGCAAGCCAGCAATAAGTAATTCTAAGAACTGTCTACCTCTTGGAAAGAACTCTTCCAAAACCACTCAGCTTTGGAAGCCTATTCACAATTGGGGACTGAATTTGTACAAAATTCACATGTGTTTTGCGTAGAAAACAGCTTTTTCTTAGTGAAAGGCAACTCTTTCTGTGCAGAATATAGTTTTCCTACATAGAAATATTCCTTTCAAACTGTGAATATTGTAACCGTAGAGTCGCCAACCTAGTGGTTCCCAACCTCTGGTCTGTAGACCACTAGTGGTCAGCAAGAACCAAATATGGTCCATGGCCTCACCATTACTACACCATTGCAATGAGAGTGACTGGTCTTGCAAAACCCTCTTATAGTGCCAAGCCTTATTAAATATGGTTTCTGTGGGCGGGTTGGTGACTACTGGATGGCATATGTTCTGTATCAGAAACTAGAGCCGATGTGGTCTACCCAATGCAATTTTCTGAACCATCACCCCAAATAACCCTACCAAATCTAAAGTTGACCAAAAACTGATTCGTAACCCTTTTGGTACTAATGTTGGAGAGTGGTCCCTGATCAAAGTGGCCTCTGGTCAAGTGGTCCCTCCTCAAAGTGGTCCCTATTCAAGTATTCCCTGGTCAAAGTGGTCCCTATTCAAATGGTCCCTGGTCAATGTTGTCCGTGGTCAAAGTGACCTCTGGTCAAGTGGTCCCTGGTCAACTGGTCCCTGTTCAAGTGGTCTCTGGTCAAGTGGTCCCTGGTCAAAGTGGTCCTTGGTAAAGTGGTCCCTGGTCAAAATGGTCACTGGTCAAAATGATCCCTGGTCAAAGTGGCCTCTGGTCAACTGATCCCAGGTTAAAGTGATCCCTATTCAAATGGTCCCTGGTCAAAGTGGCCCCTGGACAAAGTGGTTCCTGGTCAAAGTGGCCTCTGGTCAAGTGATCCCTGGTCAAGTGGTCCCTGTTCAAGTGGTCCCTGGTCAAAGTGGTCCCTGGTCAAAGTGGTCCCTATTTAAAGTGGTCCCTGGTCAAAGTTGCCTCTGGTCAAAGTGATCCCTGGTAAAGTGGCCCCTGGTCAAGTGGTTTCTGGTCAAAGTGATCCCTATTCAAGTGGTCCCAATTCAAGTGGTCCCTGGTCCAATGGCTCCTGGTCAAAGTGGTCCTTGGTCAAAGTGGTACCTGGTCAAAAAAAAAAAAAGGTTGGGAACCACTGCCCTAACCCCAGCATTCTTCTTGAATGTTAATCAAAGGCTATTTCAATACAGAAATATTTGCTTTTTCTGCAAAAAGGGATGCTTCATGTGCAAATGTGTGAATTCTGCATGGAATAAGTCCTCAAATGGCAAAAGTATTTTTCTGTTTACCATTGTTGAACAGAACAACAATGAGTTCTGTTTTCCTTCAGGGAGATAGGGCGGAATATAAATAAAGTTTTTTTTAATTATTTATTATTATTGTTCCCATTGGGATGACTTAACAGCCTTAAAATGCAAAAAAACATTTTTGTGCAGAAAATTGTATTCATACAAACGTTTTGTGCAGAAAATGTTGTTTCCAGCTCAGAGAATGCCTGTTTGTGCAAATAAAACTCCGCTAACTATGAATAAATTTTGCATAGAATATTTTAGAATCTGGGAAAGGTCTTCTTAGTCCAGGGTTCTTTTTGTGAATTTCTTTATCTCTATTTTTTGTTTTTATTTTTTTAAATATATTTTCAAATATTTCTTCCATCTCTCGGTTAGGACCAATTAACACAGGAATCAAGCATGCTATAAGACTTCCAGACAGGCCCTTTATCCCAGGATCTGATCCCAGGTTTTCTGCTTTAAACTGGATTATATGGCTCCCCACTGCCAGATAATTTGGGATAAACAGAAAACCTGAGATATACGGGCCCTAAGGGTGCATCTCCACTATAGAATTAACCCATTTTTGACACCACTTTAAATGTTGTGGCTGAATGCTATGGGAGGCAGGTCTTGTAAAACTATTACTCTCAGGATTCCATAGCCATGTCGGTTCAAGAGGTCTCAACCTGCAGTAATTCTACTGTGTAGATGCACCACACTACATTTCCCAGGATCCCATAGCATTGATCCATGGCAGTTAAAGCAGTGTCTAGCTGCATTAATTCTCGAGTGTAGATGCACCCTGAGTGTTTCTTTTATAAGAAGTGAGGCGTGTAGGGTGCCAAAAAGACAGACTCTCTCGGTTCTGGACATTCCTCTTCATCATCTGGACCTGGCTTCACTGTGATGGTACCAGATGGATCCAAGACGATGATGGAGCCTGGCATCACGTAGTTCCGCGTCGGTTCTGGTTGTGGGGCTTCAGGTTCCTCCAAGGGTTCAGTGGCATATACGCTCACACAAGGCGAAATGGGTGTCTCCCTAATTTCGGCCGGACTTGGTTGGGGAACGGTTGGTTGTGGTTGAGTTGTGGCTGACTCACACGGTGTGGGGGAAGACACCTCCGTAAGTGGAGTGTCGCATGATTCTCCATCGGTGATGGTATGGAAGGAGATGCATGGCGATGTGCTTGCATCCAGGATTTCTGTGGGGCTCGATTGAGGGCAGCAGGGTGGAGGAACGGAAGGTTGGGTGCACTGGTAAGACAAGTCTGGAGTCCCTCCAGAGCATGGACTGGGGTCATTCGATTGGGGGATGCACGGCGATGCACAGGCTTCTTGATAGATAGGAGGAGGCATGCAGGGCTGTCTTGACTGGTAAGCCATGGCTGCTGGGTGTTGGAGGCTAATGCTGGAAAGGAATACAAGAGAGGAACATGAAAGCCGGGCATGCATACACACACACACATATAGACATGCCAAGAGCTATTATGCTTAATTATTATAATTGCAAGCCTAGTAGTCCTGGGACAAAAGCAAACCACTGTTCTTGTATACTCTGGGTTGAGGGAGCCACCTGTAATCCAACGTGGTTGGAGGTGCAGCTCTTGGGCTATTCGTCAGGAAGATGGATCAGAGATGGGTTGAAGGATGTTGAAGAAAGCAAATGAGGAAAACAAAGGGTGAATCAGGTCAGGAACACTGGGATGGCCCAACATGAGGGAAACAGAGATCTTGCTCCATAGTTTTCCATGGCCATAGAAGCATAGAGTTGGAAGAAATCACAAGGGTCATCTAATTCTGGTTCATGGTTCTCCATGGATACTTGCTTCAGTACAAACATGGAAACATAGGATCATAGGTTTAGAAGAGACTGCAAAGGTCATCTAGTTCTGGTTCATGGTTCTCTATGGTAGAACTAGAAGCATAGAAGTGTAGATTCATAGAGCTGGAAGAGGCCACCAGGGTTATCTGCCTCTGGTTTGTGGTTCTCAGTGGATATTTACTTCTAGAATCATAGAAGTGTAGAGTCATGGAGCTGGAAGAGGCCACCAGGGTTATCTGCCTCTGGTCTGTGGTTCTCAATTGATATTTACTTCTAGAATCATAGAAGCAGAGAACCATAAGAGTTGGAAGACACCACTAGGTCCAGCTATTCCAACTCCCTGCCTTACAGGAAAGCAGAAATACAGTCCTCCCAAAAGACGGCCGCCCAACTTCTATTTGAAGACCTCCAAAGAGATCTCAATGGATATTTACTTGTAGAATCATACAAGTAGAGAACCATAAGAGTTGGAAGAGACCACTAGGTCCAGCTATTCCAAATCCCTGCCTTACAGGAAAGCAGAAATACAGCCCTCCTAAAAAGAAGGCCACCCAACTTCTATTTGAAGACCTCCAAAGATATCTCAATGGATATTTACTTGTAGAATCATACAACTGGAGAACCATAAGAGTTGGAAGAGACCACTGGGTCCAGCTATTCCTGACTTACAGGAATGCAGAAATACAGCCCTCCCCAAAGACGGCCACCCAACTTCTATTTGAAGACCTCCAAAGATATCTCAATTGATATTTACTTGTAGAATCATACAAGTAGAGAACCGTAAGAGTTGGAAGAGACCCCTAGGTCCAGCTATTCCAACTCCCTGCCTTACAGGAATGCAGAAATACAGCCCTCCCAAAAGATGGCCACCCAACTTCTATTTGAAGACCTCCAAAGATATCTCAATGGATATTTACTCGTAGAATCATACAAGTAGAGAACCATAAGAGTTGGAAGAGACCACTAGGTCCAGCTATTCCAACTCCCTGACTTACAGGAATGCAGAAATACAGCCCTCCCAAAGGACGGCCACCCAACTTCTATTTGAAGACCTCCATAGAGAGCCACCAACCTCTGAGGTAGTCCATTCCACAGTCAAATGGTAAGCTAGGATGTTGGTTGCTACTTAGGATAGTTGAGCACCTCTCTTTCCATTTCTCAATGTGGACTAGAAATAAGAAATGTTTGGTGTTGTGTGTCTCTGGATCATTTCTGACCTATGGTGATCCTAAGATGAACCTATCACAGGGCTTCCTTGGTAGGATTGATTTAGAGAGGCTTTGGTATTGTCTTCTTCTGAGGCTGATATTCTGTTTACACTATAGAACTATAATGCTATGATCAACATCCATTGCCATGACTTCAAACTATGGACTTCTGGGAGTTGTAGTTCATTGAGGCACTGAGCTAAGAATTCCAAAATGCCTTACATGCGACATTAATAATAATAATAATAATAATAATAATAATAATAATAATCTATATAAATAAAAATGTAATGTTCGTTTGTGGGATTAACAGAACTCAAAAACCACTGGACGAATTGACACCAAATTTGGACACAAGACACCTAACAACCCAATGTATGTACTTCACTCAAAAAAAAATCATTTTGTCATTTGGGAGTTGTAGTTGCTGGGATTTATAGTTCACCTACAATCAAAGAGCATTCTGAACCCCACCAGCGAAGGAATGGAACCAAACTTGGCACACAGTTCTCCCATGACCAACAGAAAACACTGGAAGGGTTTGGTGGGCAATGTCCTTTGGTTTTGGAGTTGTAGTTCACCTACATCCAGAGATCACTGTGGACTCAAACAATGATGGATCTGGCCCAAACTCTACACGAATATTCAGTATGCCCAAATGTGAACACTGGTGGAGTTCTGCATTCTGAACCCCACCAACGATAGAATTGGGCCAAACCTCCCACACAGAACCCCCATGTGGGCCACAGCAGCACGTGGCAGGGGGCAGCTAGTAATAATAATAATTTTATATTCCAAAATGCCTTACAGCTGAAATAATAATAATAATAATAATAATAATAATAATAATAATAATAATAATAATAATTAGGGGGACCCAGGTTGGGTTCTCTCTAGGCATTTGTAGGCCCACCAGCACAATGCCATGGTCAACTTCAAGTGTTGTAGTTCTGCAAAGTTTTCAGCTTTCTCTACCAAAGAGGGCTGGTGCCTCACCAAACTACAACTCCATAGTAGTGAAAGTGGGGGTCAAACTTCATTCATTCTACCATGTAGATGCACCCCTAGCCTCCTAAAATTCAGTAGGACACTACTGGTCAATGACTCTCCTTTCACGTGAGCTACCTCTCAGGACTATCATGGAGACAAAATGCACACATGCACCACACTTCATCACAATCAGGAGAGTTCAGAAACATCAATCAAAGAAATTAGACTTGAAGTTCTAAAGAGGATAGAACAGAGGAACAAGAGAGACTTTCAAGTAATGGGTTTGGAATATTTGCATTGGAGATGCACACTAGGTAGAGTATTCTAAGATTGATAAAGCTGGCATCTAGTGGAGGTTAAAGAAAAGATCTCAGGCATGTCTGGGCTTACATTTCGGAAAATGGAAACAAAAATAACATAAATAAACCCATCCGAAAAAGCAACATGGAGCTTACCCAACTTTCTTGGTGCCGAGAAGAAATGATGCTACAGCGCAAGGCAGAGAGGCGTGTTGTGCCGAGAGCTGGGTTTTATATGGAAGGGCGAGGAAATGAGGCTCTTTCTAAAATTTCCTCCGCCTACGATTTAATTAGTGGATTAAATTAGCAGAACATTCACCATGACAGTAGCGGGTTCAGGTGATGAAAACCCTGTCCGGGCTTTGGGTAAGCACCCTAGAATGAGAATTTGACCCAACCAGTTTGTTTCCGATGGAGACGATTTCGACAGGTGTTCAGGTTGCTGCCACTTTTGATGCCAAGAGTCAGGAATTTCTGGAGGCTGGAGTGATTAAGGAGAGCTTCGTTCTGGTTGACCTTCTCTGATTGGTTTTGTTGGGCCGTGTTCTCGAATGTTGGAATGTGGTCTGGCATCACAAAACATTAACAACTTCAAGGCGCTTGAGACAACACTGGGGACAAGAGAAAAAACTTCTCCAAAGATCTCAAAGTTTTGATAGGATCATACCATGGTGATGGTCCTCCAAAGATCTCAAAGTTTTGATAGGATCATACCATGGTGATGGTCCTCCAAAGATCTCAAAGTTTTGATAGGATCATACCATGATGATGGTCCTCCAAAAATCTCAAAGTTTTGATAGGATCATACCATGGTGATGGTCCTTCAAGGATCTCAAAGTTTTGATAGGATCATACCATGGTGATGGTCCTCCAAAGATCTCAAAGTTTYGATAGGATCATACCATGATGATGGTCMTCCAAAGATCTCAAAGTTTTGATAGGATCATACCATGGTGATGGTCCTCCAAAGTTCTCAAAGTTTTGATAGGATCATACCATAATGATGGTCATCCAAAGATCTCAAAGGTTTGATAGGATCATACCATGGTGACAGTCCTCCAAAGATCTCAAAGGTTTGATAGGATCATACCATGGTGATGGTCCTCCAAAGATCTCAAAGGTTTGATAGGATCATACCATGGTGATGGTCCTCCAAAGATCTCAAGGTTTTGATAGGATCATACCATGGAACATGTAACATATCATTGACCTTCTTTGAGGTCCCTTTCAAATCTATGTTACTATATCTGTCATATACATATGTGTGTGCGTGTGTGCGTGTGTGTGTATGAATGGCTGGGTGGCTCTTTATCAGGAGGGCTTTGGTTATGTTTTGTTATCCTGGTGAAGGGAGTTGGACTGGATGGCCTTAAGGCAGCACTTCCCAACTTGAGGGTTGGGACCCCTGGGGGGAGGGTCACGAGAGGGTGTCAGAAGGGTTGCCAAAGACCACCAGAAACACACAGTACTTTCTGTTGGTCATAGGGGTTCTCTGTTGGAAGTTTGACCCAATTCTATCGTTGATGGGGTTCAGCATGCTCTTTGATTGTAGGTGAACTATAAATCCCAATAACTACACCCTCCTCTCCTAAAGGGTCTGGTCTAGGGGATGCTGGGAGCTGTAGTCCAGAACAGAGTGTGAATATGCTATTGTGTGTTTTGTTTGCCAGGGGGAGTTGTTTTTGTGCATGCGCTGTAGTGTCTTTTTGCTTTTTCATGGACAGGAAGGTGAACATGAGCCAACAATGTGATGCGGCAACAAAAAAAGCCAATGGGATTTTGGTCTGCATCAATAGGAGTCTAGTGTCTAGATCTAGGGAAGTCATGCTCCCCATGCTCTTTTCTGCCTTGGTTAGACCACACCTGGAATATTGTGTCCAATTCTGGGCACCACAATTGAAAGGAGATATTGAGAAGCTGGAATGTGTCCAGAGGAGGGTGACTAAAATGATCAAGGGTCTGGAGAACAAGCCCTATGAGGTGCGGCTTTAAGAGCTGGGCATGTTTAACCTGAAGAAGAGAAGGCTGAGGGGAGACATGATGAAGGCCATGTATAAATAAACGAGAGGACGTCACAGGGAAGA